GTTGTTGACGTGTTACCTATAAGAGGTATCGATGCGCTACTATTGGTCAAATCAATTTTTAGAAGAAAAGAATAAATTAAGTCTAAAGCACCCGGTATTCCAAGGTGGTCCAAGTACTAATCGGGCCGCCGTTTTTTTTTTCGGTGATCGGACGAGAACAGGTGTTTTCAACGTACTGATAGGAGGGATCTGTATCAAACTCTTCTTTATGAAGCCCATACATCCAGCAGCATGCCTTCTCAACAAGGGATTCTAGGCTTCATTAAACCAGAAGGAAGCTACACTCCTCCAATATCGAAGACCCCTTTGCCTTCTGCTCGTGTGTTGCGTCGAGCCCATTTGATTATGGAAATGGAGAGGATTCCAGTGTATAGAGCCTCCATTCTAAGTACGACAGGAGAAATATTGTTCATAATGGAACAAGACAGGTATGTAAAATAAAAATCACAAACAAGACTTATTTTTTTACTAATTTTAATTCACAATTTTGTATTATTCAAATTCATTTGTTATATTTATTTAATTTTTGAAAATTCTCTCTTTGAAATAAGATGCTTCTTTTATTGTTATTTTTAATGTTTGAAATTATACTTTGCAACACTTACTTATTCTAGGTAAAACTGTGATATCATTTCCAACTGAAATGAAATTCAAGTATGAGTTCTCCCAATAAATGCGTATCCCTACTATTAGAAAATACATTACTTCATTAATTGTGACATATTTTTACTCAATAAAATTATGCCATCATTTGCACAGCACTTTATTGGTTGAGTAAATCGCTCAATGATTTTACACTTTGCATGTATTTTTTTGTTATACAGTAGTTTAACTTATGTATCATTACTTGCAATTGCTAAACTTTACTAATTAATAAAAAAAATCACAACAAATTGATTTTTTAATCAAATACCTCTGTACAACATACCAGTTGTTTTTAATTATGGATTATAAAAATGTTATACTTTTTTTTATTAGATCCTCAAAAAAATCTATGGAGATGGTCAAGGGACAATGCAATACCTTACCAGTGTCCTGAATGAGTGGGGCCAATTCTTGACATCAGTGGTCGTCGCATCTGAGTCCGAGGACTGCTATAGACGAATGGCTCAAGGACTGATTGCCCGATTTAAGCGTGCAAATGCACACCCCCTAAAGTTATCTATGCCGATAACAATTGCTGTAGGTAAGTTGCTCTTTTCTATTTTAATTTTGTTTTTATTTATTTATGTACATTTGTCTGTGTTTACAAAGTTTTCTTTTTATTTCTCCGACAAAATCCTTTCACCAAGTTTTTTTCTTCAAACAGGAATAATTAATTACTGTGAACATTAAATTATTATTCACTTTTAATATAACCTGTTGTTTATTTATTTTAGTGAAAGCGGGGCATCTTGGATTCATTCACTTTTCGAGGAATGGGATGGTATGGTAGTGCGCTTAGACATCAGACAGTGGCTGCATAGATGGGACACTGTCGTAATAAAGCAAAGTCATTGAAAATACGGTGTGTTTATGAGTGCACTTGCAGGAGCAATACTCGCATACAACAAAGCTGATATGGACCAACTCATAAAAGCAGTGAGGAATGGAAACCAGGAGATGTTTTCAAAATACAGTGATATGGATATGATTACCTATGTAAAACCACATCAACGGAAATCCTATGTCCGTCGTATAACGCGTGGTGTAGAGGTATGTTACTTAAATTCCACTAATAAATTAAAAACCCGTGCTGCGGCAATTTAATCTTTTAGAATAAATTTATGAAAACTCAATTTAAATTTGTTTCAGGAGAGTGTATGTTCCATCGAAGCAATTCTCAAACAATTCAAAGGACCAGCGGGTCTTGATGTAGATGGTATTCCGCTATTCAAGTCTTCCGAAGCTGTGGATGCATACTGGAAAAAGACCAGCAAGCATATTAGCTGTATGCAGGTTAGTAGCAGGAATATCTCAGATAAAAATTAAGCTGTACTGGATTTCACTTGCTCATGTGTGCAAAATTCTATACATTTTTAAAACTTAGATAATAATAAATCAATTTGTTTCATGTTTTTCTTAAGTTTTAAAGACCGTAATATGTATAGAAAGATTTATTTATATAAAATCATTAAAATTTTTAACAATTAATCATTAGCTGTTATAGAATGAATGAATGAATGAATGAATGAATGCATGAATGAATGAATGAATGAATGAATGAATGTTTGAATCAAGAGTATTATCATTGACCAATTATGACATAATGTATGTTTTTCCAATGCAGGATCCACCTGGCATTCCTCTATATGTTGTTACCAAGGTGGTGCATTTAAATGGTGTTCAGCTGAACAAATACAGGATCAGAAGAGGAAGCAACTCCTTAGAAGGACTGCATGCTCACTTAGTCAAAGCCATTCCATCACAACGCTGTGGTATCATGCCGTTTCAGGTAAAAATTAATTTTATTTATAGATATATTATTTGTATTGCAGAAAAATATATACTGTATTATGCAATTTGTTTATGTGTTTATATGATTCATTATTTTTTTAGGTTTACCTCATATCATTTACAATGCAGTGGAATTGCAGAATGGAGTCCCTGAAAGTTGCTGGAGGACAAGGAAGACACACCCTGTGCATAGATGCTCGTCAAATTCAGCGACTGAATCATCAAGCAAATGTTTTGTTCGGAAAAGAACACCTTCTTGAGCCAAACTTTGCAGCACCAATGCCTTACCCAGCAAGATATGATGACCCAGCAGAGAAAGAACTACTTGGAGTGGAATATGCGTACTGTCAGTCATCTGACTTTAAGGCCAAAGACTACTATATCAAAAAAGGTAGGTGTTCTCATCCCCACCCTCTCCCCGCCCATAAACAATAGCAATATATACAATCATACAAATAATAGACTGATTGAATGTAACATTTTAATTACATCCAGTTCTGTTTGTTACCCATTAATTCACAACCATCCTTCTCCCCCTCCCCTCCTCCTCCTCCTCTATTGGAGATCAATGTGCGATGACATAAACAAGTTTGTGTCATCCTGCCAGGTATGTAATGCCCTAAAGGCACATCAAGCCAAGGAGCCCTTACTTTTACATAACATTCAGGATCTACCATAGACAATTGTTGCCACTGATATATTTGAGTGGAACAACAAGCATTTACTAGTACTCGTAGATTCCCATTCCGGATGGTTTGAAATGAATACTTTAACTGACTTAACATCAGCCACGGTAATAGTGAAACTGAAGCGTGCCTTTGCTACCATGGTACACCGCGGATTCTCATAAGTGACAATGGAGGTCAGTATTCAGGTAAACAATTCAAACAGTTCGCATCAGAATGGAACTTTGTTCACATCACGAGTAGTCCTGAACATGCCCAATCAAATGGCCTTGCAGAGAATGCGGTAAAGCAGGCAAAGATGTTGTTAGAAAAGACACAACCCATACAAAAAAATTCTATAGAATTCTATCAAAAAAAACCTATAGAATGTCTATAGCATAATTATTTAGAAAATCTATAGGAAATTCTATAGAAATAACTATAGAAGCCCACTATAAAAGGTATATTAAAAAGCTATTAAAACTATATTAAAAATCTATTAAAACTCTATTAAAAATCTATTAAAACTATATTAAAAATCTATTAAAATTATATAAAAAATTTATAAAAACTCTATAAAAAATATATTAAAACTATATTAAAAGACTTACAAATCTATAAAAATTATATAAAAAACTATGAAAATTCTATTAAAAATCTATAGAATGTCTATGAAAATTTTATATAAAAACACCTTTAAAAAACTATAGAAAATCTATAAACAATTTTATAAAAACCACTTATAAATCTATAAACATTTATAGAAAAAAACCTATAAAAACACATTAAATATGCGAATAGAAATTCTATACAATTGTATAGAAAGTGTATATAAATTGAACGATTTTATATAGAAAATCTGTGTATTCTATAAAAAAAAAATGTGGGTGAAAATTCTATTAAAAATCTAAAGAATGTCTATGAAAATTTTATATAAAAAAAAGACCTTAAAAAAACTATAGAAAATCTATAAACAATTTTATAAAAACCCTATAAAAATACATTAAATATGCGAATAGAAATTCTATACAATTATATAGAAAGTGTATATAAATTGAACGATTTTATTTAGAAAATCTGTGTATTCTATTAAAAAAAATGTGGGTGTTGTGTGTTTTTGGACAATTCAACTGGTCTTCAAATTTAACAATTCCAATTGGTTTTCAATGGTCCCAGTTCCACTTGGTAACAATGGCTTTAATCAACTTCTGCAGACTTACAAAATACACTATGAGTTCATATACAAACCATAATTTCTTTAATTTAAAACACCAACAAACATCATACGGTAGGGACATTACTTCCCTAGGGTCTCATTTACTAGCATACAGTGCCCCTTCATTTATAATCGTTTTACTAATGTCTTACTGCTAAACATACTGTACCTCAAATTCAAGGCTGCTTTATAGTCCGGTTTAAATAAGCATTTTTTTGTAATGTAGTCCTAATACAAGAGTTTATTATATAAAACAATATTCAAGAACCATTTGTGTTACAGGTGTGCATAAACCAGCATTCTTTGTGATATTGCAGCAGCAACTGTCCATAACCATGCCTTTTCTTGTCCGATGGTACCAAGCTATTAAATTAGTATGAATTATGACGTTGAACACATCTATTTTGAAATATTGTATCACTGTGACTTGTACACATTTTTTGGAGTTCACTCTTGCTGAAAGATATAACAAAACAAAATCTTTAAAAAGAATAATAATGGTAAACTTATACAGTATATAGAGTGCATATTATAGAAACCGCTATTAAATGTATTACATCCCTTTATTATTGTATTGAAATAGGAGTAATATACATATATGTAGCTAATGACCGACAGCAGTTACTTCTTTTTTAATCAAAAAAAATTTTTTTTTTAGTTCTCAAAACAGCTTTTAGCCTACATTACAATTTCAATATCACTTAAGGCCTATATAGGCCTAATATATACACATTAAATTTGACTAAACTCTATCGTGTAAACTACAGCATCATCTATAGCATGTTGTTAATAATTAATAGTACAGGACAGTAAAAATAAAACATCAACAAAACATTATATTCACCTTTAGTAAGTCAGGTAATTTTCTGTTCCTTCATGTAGATACGTCTTCAAACAAAAATTAATATGCTTTCCTACTACAATGATTGAGTTGACTAGTTACTGACACTTGAGAATCCTGAAATAAAGTCACCATTTATGTTGTTAGTATAGGCCTTTTGATTACATTAACTTTCTCCAAATAATGATACAATTCTTTACACCCCCCCCCACCCCGGTTAAGCGTAAACCGATTATTTTATTAAAGCACTATAGAATGTCAGGTAATTTTCTGTTCCTTCACAGATACGTCTTTAAACAAACATTAATTCTTTCAACTACAAGATTGAGTTGACCGGATTGAGTTTTCATTTAATTACGATAGAAACTGAGACTTGAGTATCCTGAAATAAAATCACCACTTATGTTAGTATAGGCCTAGAGATTTAATACATTAACTTTCTGCAAATAATGATCCAATTCTTTACACCACCCCCTCTCCGGTTAACCCTAAACCCATTATTTTATTAACCCTCTAGATACCGTCTTCGACTGTAGTCGAAATTGACCTCAAACCGAGAATTCCCATTTTCGACTGCAATCGAAATTTAGTGACTAAAAAATAGGTGGTTTTCAAATCGCTCTTCTGTTTTTATTTTAGC